TGTGTGTGTGTGTGGGGGGGGGTGTGTGTTTGTGTTACTGCACCTGACAGAGAAGCCTCTCTCGCTGCTGTCCTGCTCCCTCTCCTCAGCATCGCTCTCCACAGAGGGCAGCAGGTCGCTGTGAGAGCGCATCACCGCCTGGGAAACCTGGAACAACCAACATATTAAAATAGAATTAGATACAAAACACAAGCATTTCTGGTTTCAATGATTTACAGGTAAAATAAGTCAAACCTATACAAAAGAATGTTCAATAATAGCACATCCACATCCACAACATGCATCTGGCTGCTACCATGAAATTATTTATCTAATATATAATATTCCAATAACTTGCATATCGACTCTTATTGCACTATTTTTGCTTTTTTTCAAACTATTTTTCTTTTTGTCTTTACTATTTACTTGCACCATATGTTTCTATTTATCTGTTTTATTGTGTTGCACTGTTGGAGGAGCCTGTGACCTAAGATCTTCATCCTGTTATAATTTGCTCCCGTGGGTCCACAGTAATGACTGTTACATGTTACATGTTACATCTATGTGTATTGTGTAATTGTAAAGCGCTTTGAGCACCTGGAAAGGAAGCATCGAGAGCTTATTATGGTGTTGGCAAATGTATTATCCATCACCTCATGTCATATTCAAGATGAATGGTTTTGTTCTTAGCAGCATTGTTAGAATTTGGCACTCATTTATCTCACTATCAGACACATAGGACTGGTGGGAGTGCCTTAAAGAGGACACATTCTGATCATGTTCAGCTTCATATCAGTATGTAGTGTCTCTACTTTAAAGAGTCCTCTCCTGCTGATGTTCAGGTGTATATCAGTATGTAGTGTCTCTACTTTAAAGAGTCCTCTCCTGCTGATGTTCAGGTGTATATCAGTATGTAGTGTCTCTACTTTAAAGAGTCCTCTCCTNTGTGTGCCTTGGCAGTCTCAGCTCTCCTGCTGACTTTCAGGTGTATACCAGTATGTAGTGTCTCTACTTTAAAGAGTCCTCTCCTGCTGATGTTCAGGTGTATACCAGTATGTAGTGTCTCTACTTTAAAGAGTCCTCTCCTGCTGACTTTCAGGTGTATACCAGTATGTAGTGTCTCTACTTTAAAGAGTCCTCTCCTGCTGATGTTCAGGTGTATATCAGTATGTAGTGTCTCTACTTTAAAGAGTCCTCTCCTGCTGATGTTCAGGT